ATTTTGAATTTGTAAACTGTCATTGCAACAGACAGTTGACATTGTGCTATGGAGGAAACAATTTGTATCACTCTTGCTACAGATATACAGTAGAGCGTCGGTTATCCGAAATGTCTGTTATCCGAAAGAATTCCAGTAGGCAAATTTAAATTTTCGCCAGTGCTGTGGCGCTGCAATCTTTGGTTATGTCTTGGGCGACTCGAATATTTTACTTTTTTGATACTAAATTAACTTCTGAAGTATAATTTTTTATTGTTTTCATATTTTTCAATATATTTATTTTGTTCGTACAAAATAAAAAAATAATTTTTAACGATACAATACTTTTCGTTAGGCTTAACATCGACGGAAATTCAACGCGAAGCGACACGCAACGGAGAAAAATTTCAAGATGAGGTTAATTAATATATTTTTTCGTACATAATCGGTTACCCGAAACATTGATCTTCCGAACAATCCGTCCCCAATCGATTCGGATAATCGATGCTCTGCTGTAATTTGTAATCTGGAATTTTTTGCATACCTTTTTAATACGTATTTAATTGCGGCTCGCAAAAAATTTCAAATTTTGAAAAATGGCTCGGACTATTAAGGAGCTTGGCCACCGTGGTTATATATAGGCTTACTTGTGGCCCAAAACTCCTTGACTTTTTCCAATGCGGCCCAGAGAAACAAAAAGGTTGGACACCCCTGATTTATACATTTACAAATACAAAATGCATTTTTCAGTGTTTTCCTTACTATAATTATTTTTTTCCAATGTACTACTTAGCTTTAATTTGAGTGTGTTTTTCGTGTTGGAATGAATTATTTGGTTTTACATGTAATCGTATGGGGAAAAATGATTCACCTTACGACATTTTCATGATACGATCTCAGTTTCGGAATGGATTAATTTCGTATCCTGAGGTACCACTGTATATCGACACTGTTGTAAATATCACTCTGATGATACAAATTAAGTAAATTATCAGTTTTTTAGTAGATTTTTAACGACAGAACAAAAGACACAAAACACGTGGTCGAGGTCAACATGGACATCAGGGACAAGGTAGGAGAGACATTTTTTCACTTCACGTTAATTGACTTTTCCAGTCGACAGCTGTGCAATCTTGGATTTAAATTATATATCGACGCTATTGTAAATATCGCGCTGCTGATACAAATTAAATAAATTATCAGTTTCTTAGTAAATTTTTACTGACAAAACATTCACCGAAAATGGCTCGTGGATGACCTCATGGTCGAGGCAGGCAAAGTTTTAATGATCGCGCCCAAAAGCAGCGATATCAAAGAAGATAGGAGAATGAGAACGAGACCTGCCTTAAGCATCAAAGTGATTCCGTCTCCGAGACATAGTCTTGTCCCAAATACGGTTTTGCCGTTTTACTTGTTTTCTGTTATTTTTAGGTCCCCCCTAGGTAGATCACATTCTCAACACTCAAGAGATAAACAAATGCTCTTGGGCAACAAAGTAATTTTGACTGTTAAATATAATACACTGTTTAAATAATATTCCTTCATTCCTACCATTACAACTAATAAAAATCATATAAAATGAGACAACCATAAATTTAAATTAATGCTAGTAATGCATCGATTTAAAAATAAAGTAAAATGTTTCATGTTTTTTGCAGGTTATGCAAAACTGTGAAGAATTATGCAAATTCATGCCAAACTTTACAATATATAACACTGTATGTACATATTTTAAAGCCAAACCAATATAAAGCTAGCTTGTGCAAGTGTTATCATAAAAAAATTTATTAAAAAAATAAATTCTACATCAACTACGATGAAATATATAGAGTATAGAATTAAAATTACTTTTTCATTATAATTATTTTAAAATATTCTATTCCTGTACACTATTTTTATTTAAAAATGTTTAATAATAATTTATAAATATTGTAAAGTAATATATTAGATAAATATGAACTCACTTAAACTTTTAAGCTGATTCATTGATGGTAAATGGAGTTGAGAGTGCTTTTGAAGAAAAAATATAATCATGAGGAGAAGAGAAAAGTTAGTGATTTGTGCATTGGGAACATCTGAAGTCAATTTGCATTTTCTTGCCCACCTTCTGATTGTATACACTAATGGTCTAACATGGGGATCCAATTCTCCATAAGTGAAGAGAAATTCAGCCATGTCAATTGCATTTCTATAAAATTTTAATATAATTTTAACAGAACTGATTTTGATATATTCTAACTTAAATGAAAAATACTCAAAATAAATACCATCAAAATATAATAAATAAGACAAATAATAAAGTTGCCTTACATTTACAGAGTATATGTAAATTAATTTTAAATGATACCATTTTAAATTACTATAATTATGTTAATTATTGTCTGAGAAGTACTCATCTCTCATCTGCATTCAAATTACTTGTCTACCTCTAGAAAATGCCATACATAAACATGGCAATTCCAAAACAGAAAAGGCATTTTGTGTTCTGCAGTTTACAAAGTTGGAATCGCTCATCATTGTGCAACATGAATAATCTGTAGGAGTTGTAGAATTGTGGTTGCAGAAGTATTGACAACAGATATGCTGTAGCAAGTGTAGGAAAAATTTGAGTATCAATTGGATATGTACTCTGTGATACAAGGTGTACACACTGAGAAACTGAAATGAGCAAATATAAAACTTTGACAGTTTTCCCACGTTCCAATGTACATTACAATGTTATTGGATAATAATTAACATAATTACCATGATATAACATGGTAGCATTCTTTTTGGAAGACCTGTATTTTACAAAAGCTATTATAAATAAGCAAATAAATTCTGATATAAATATTATAAATGTTTCATTAATTTTCTCACTGATCAATTAAATTATTCATACTTTTAAACTTATAGTAAATTTTTATATCAATATTCATACTTTATTTTTCTTTATTTTGATTTGAATATCTTTAATTTAAAATAAGAATCATCTGAAATTTGATATACAAAGTTTCTCCAATAAGTATCAAGAGTCAAGTCATAAAAAATAGTTTATTAAAGATACAGTAGAGCATCATTTATCCGAATCAATTGGGGACTTAGATTGTTCAGATAACTAATTTTTCAGATAACCGAATATGTATGAAAAAATATATTAACCTGTCCCATTATGAATTTTTTCTATGTTGCGTGTTGCTTTTCGTTGAATTTTCGCCAATGTTAAGGCTAATGTAAATATTTTAAAATAATAATCGTGGTTATTTTATTGTTAAAAATTATATCATTACAGATTGAAGACAAAANAAAATTTTACTCATCATAAAACAATAGTTTGTCAAATTTTTATCCATAAAAATGCAGTTTAAACTGCTTTTTATTTTATAAAATCCATCTTCTTGCCCCACCAGAGGGCCTTTTAAACAATATGTAGTCTGTTAGCACAGGTCAGTAGTAGTCCAAATTCAATACAAACATTTGATCACAATTTAAATATAATATTTATTTTTAATATTACCGATATGTCATCGAAAAGAAAACGTGTTGTATTATCATTAAAAGACAAATTAAAGTATTTGTTTCGATTATCCAAATTTTTCCTTATCCGGACTATCTTCATCCGCAATTAGTCCGGATAATCGAGGTTCTACTGCACTTGCATATTTATAAATATTAATAACCTGTAACAATTACAGAAGATTAATTTAAATTTCGATAATTGATAGTTTCAAACATTGTCTGCATTTAGTGCAGAAAATTACAAAAAACTCATGCTTTAAACTTTATATTTAAACGTGGGCAAATATTATTATTTACACACAGAAATAACATTTCTTTCATAATTAGACTTCCGGAAGGAGTTTTCAAAATTTCTGATGGTATTTTTCATTAAAATGTCATGGAAACAATAAATATTAATCTTGTTGAAAGTGTGTATAAAATTTTGCTATAACAATAAAATAAAAAATAATAAAACAACATAATTTATTTTAACATTATAATACAATATAAAAAATGCTATTTTCTCTTTTTTAACTTCTTTCCTTGTTTTTCTGATAAATTATTTACGAAATTACTCTCTACTTCATATATAAAAGGATCATCTTTGGTTTTACTGTTATCCTTACTGGAACTGGCTTTCTGTTTGTTGAACAGAGTTTTAATTTGAAATTTTTTCTCCCATTCTTGCCAGTACCTGCTTTTATTCTGCGCATCAAATAACTTTAATATTCCCCATGGTTCGGACTGTTTGGTCCCATCAGTTTTTTCCAACTGCCACAGAGCCGATCCCATGGCTTCTGTTAGATTATTTAACTCCTCTGAACTTACATTTTTACTCACGTTTAATCCTAATTCTATAGGATTATGAATGTAGAGACTGCTGTAATCAGGTTTAGAAGTTATTTGACCTTTCAATAATGATAAAGCATTCTTCTTGAAATCAAATGTAGCATAATATGCAAAGAACTCTTTCAGCAAAGTATCTATAATATAAAAAAAGACATCGGTTTATAAACAATAATCAAAGATCAAGCGTAATGAAAAAACAATTCATGATATTTAAAGTGCAGCAAAATGACATATTTCATAAATTAAAAAAGTTAGAAATATTTACTTTAGTGGCATATAAAACAAAACAGAGTATAAAAAGGAAGAATAGACTTAGAATAAAACCAATATACCTAAGTTAACATGCCCATAATTTCATCATTATTAACAACAACTGCTTCATGTTTTTGTGTGTAATCACTTACCAAGGTTACAGGGCTCTGATTTTGAAGTTTTAAAGTGATCTGTATTAGGATCCTCTGAAGAATTTTTCTTTTCAACTAAAAACAAAATTGAATTAAGCATTAAATCTCTGGTAGTTAATACTCTAAAACATATATAAACTAAACAAAGTAACAAATTTGCGTGACATAATCACAATAAATTTATTTTTATGATTAATAATATATTTATAATTCAATAAATTTTTAATCATACTTTAATTTAAACTAAGCTTTCCACATCTGGTCTCAATTTTAATTACTGTCTTTCCCCAGTACATCATACTTCTCTTGACAGCAATCAAGTTATCGATCTAACTCCGTTCTTGAGAAAATTTCTGAACTGTAATCACTTGACTTCCAATATAAATATATATGAACTTCTGGGTTGGACTGGAAGTCAGTTGGGGCTTCCAGCCCCTAAGCTTTCTATACCTGATCATAGTTTTCATCTATATAACTCTCACAATGAGATTAATGAAGGCTAGAAAAGTATAGATATATATCTATATAACTCTCACAATAAGATTAATGAAGGCTAGAAAAGTTCAGCCCAATAATACTTAGTTTCATATAACCTAAAGGCTGATTTACAATATAAAACTACCACTGACATTTTGTCATTCAAAACTTCAATACACACATGCATTTGCCTTGTTTGAATAGCTCACATATTAGCAGCCAGAGTTTGATACATCAAAACTATTTCACAGAAAATCTAACCTGTCAAAGTTTTTCTTGTCAATTCACATTGTCAAACCAATTGATGACAAGATACGTGGGAAACCCAAAAATAACGGGAATAATTTTGAGGAGGGTGGGAGATTCGTAGTAGGATCTCTCATTTCCCAGTCTTTTGCTTGTCTCGGGATTCTGGGATAAAAGTGAACTGTTTCCTGTGATCTCAAGATGAAATTAATTACAGTTGACCCCCCCTATAACACTGTTGATTATTCCATTTTATATGAATTCCATGTTGTACGAGTCACTTAAACGTTACAAATACGCGTACCGGGCTGTGAACAGCTCACGTATTTGTAAAATTTAAGTGACTCGTACAACATGGAATTCATATAAAACGAAATAATCAACAGTGTTATAGGGGGGAGGTCGATTGTATTTTTAAGATATACAAAATATCATGAAATCAAATGATATAATTATTTTTCATTTTTTAAAGTAATTTTAAATGTTCTGCAACCTCCAAAATCATATTAATAATGCTGTGTAAGATATGTATTAAAAATTACTTTAAATTATGTAGAAAATTTCACAAATAGATCACTAAATGATCGCCTAAATATCGGGCTATAATAAGGCTAATTTAAATGATTGGTATAAATTAATTTGACACTACAGATAGACATATACACAAATATTCACAAATACAAAAAAATTTATTGGAAACTGGAAACTGCTTACTACAACAACAACAACAACAACAACAACAAATAAATGCTTTAAACTGAGTTGAAAATTTAAAACAAATAAACTTAAATCAAACTTCCAACTTAAAAGGTAATTTTCGTTATTTAAATAAAACATAATACAAAATATTATTGTGAATTTTTATAGTAAGATTATAAAAAGCAAAGATGGTCAAATACTCCAATCACTCAATCTGATTCTTATTTTAGTAATAAAAAGTCCAGCTTCCGAGAATGCTCTTTCCGATTCAATAGATTTGAGTGAAATCGTGTTTAATGTATTTAAGAGAAGACAAATGTTGTGTGTTTTTTCACCCATAGCCTAGAAGATTTTTAGTTTGTTTTCGAGATTGTATTACTTCTTTTGCTTTCTAGTATTCTTAATTTGTCTACCATGGTTGCTTTAATAGCGGCATCAAGCTTATAGCTCAATAATTCTGCAATTCGTTTGGCTTTAATAATCAGGTTTATGAAGAAAAACTTCATACTTGCAGATTTCATACTCATTTGTATCCTTGCCCAATTTGCACAATCTGGCATTACACAGCTATTGAGGCTACTGAGCACATTTAAAAATTATGACAACGTAAGCACAATTATTCTAGATATTACAAGTTCTGACAAGTAAAGAATTTTCAGAGTCCTGTCACAAATAGGCTACATATTGATTATTGACAATCTGTAACATGCCGTAACGAGGAAACACAAAAAAAAACCTAACAATAAATAGGTTTAAAATTAATAAATACAAATGTATTCTAACAAAATAAGAAAAAAGTGAAGTTTTAAGAAATTTGCGAAATTTCCTGAATTAAAAAAAAACAACCGGGATCACTTTCGAGAAACCCTAATTTGTAGTATGCATATCTGCCACGAGATGTCAGTACATGGAATCTTCTGGAATCAGTATGCGAAGCAGCATTGGAGTGTCAAACCTTGTCGGCCAATAGCAATTTTTTTTTGAACATCAGATTTTAAAAAGCAATGTGCTGCTGTGAAATTTTGTTTCCTGTTAGGAAAAACTGGATCGAAAATGGTTGATATGATTCAACATGCTTACAAACAAGATGCCATGAGTAAGACAATGTGGTTTTCCCACTTTCATAAAGGGGAAATGCCTCTTGTAGATCAACCCAGGTCTGGTTATCCATCCAACATTTGAACTGACAAAAATGTTAAGAAAATTTTTTAATCTCATTAATGAAGATTACCATTAATGAACTTGTTGTTTGTCTGGGATTTCATAGAGTTTGATTCAGCAAATTTTGTCACAAGAACTCAGCATGAGAAGAGTTTCTGCAAAGTTTGTTCCGTGCTTGTTGACTGCTGATCGGAAAGGCAATCACTTGGCAGTTGGTCAGGCTTTGAAAGAACATTTGGAAAATGTTCTCAACTTGTTTTCTAAGGTGATAACTGGTGATGGAATCATGATGTTATGGTTACAATCTAGAAACCAAATGTCAATCCAACCAGTGGAAAACATCAGAATCTCCTCATTCCAAAAAAGCATTCCAAATGAAGTCGAATGTGAAAACCAGCTACTCTGTTTTTTTGATGTGAAAAGAATTGTTCATTCCGAATTTGTCCATCCAGGCCAGATAGTCAAACAACATTGTTATATGGAAGTCCTCAAAAAACTTTGTGATACTGTGAGAAGAAAAAGAAGAAATTTATGGCAAACAGAGGATTAGTTTTTCCATCATGACAATGCGCACGCTCACATGGCTCTCTCGTGCAGCAGTTTTTACAAGAGATGGCATGACATCCTTCCGCCACCCCACATTCGCCTGATCTTCCACATTGTGAATTTTTTGTTCCTGGATGTAGAGAAAACTCAAGGAAAGCAATTTCAGACAGAAGAGATAAAAACAAAAACAGCAAAGGCATTTCAAAACAGAAATTTTCTAGGTGTTTTGAACAATAGGAAAAAACATTTGGACAAGTGTATTATGCAAATGGCAGTATTTTAAAGGAGATTAAAATATGAAACTGTTAAAATAAATACACAATCTTTACTGAATTTTTGACAAGACTATGTCTTGTTTATAAAATCGTACTGCCTCATGTTCTTATCAGCATAGAGGTATGAAGGAGTACATGAAGAGAGTCGATATTTGGCACAGAGTATTAGGTGCCCAAATCATTTGCACATTAAAAACAATCCAGACTCGTAGGTAATCAGGGGACCGAGAACCAAGTCAAAATAAAATACGAAATGGTAACCCTCTTCTACAAACTGGCAAAACAGCCACCTCACCCACCGAAGTCGGGTAGGGGAGAGTACCACCCGCAGTCATTCTAAGAAGTAAACTCTGACCTTAGGACTGTAGGCACCTGCGCGTGATCTTTGCCCTTTGACCTCACTTTGCTTCTAAAGATATCTGTTGAATTGAAATATAGTAAAAAGATATCTCTCCTCTAACAGGAAGAGACATCTTTTTACTATATTTCAATTTGACAGTGGTGCCGATCTTGGATTTATATTATACAGTCATACCTCAGGATACAAATACCCCAGCATACGAAATTTCCAGGATATGACATGAAATTCAAACATATTTTTGCTCCACGATACGAACAAAAACTCACCATATGACGTTACATTAGTTCGCAGCGCCATTTTTTATTCACTTCTGTTCATTGGTCTCAGTCTGCCTGTTTGCTTCGTCATGGAAGGATCTCGCTCGATAAAGGAAATCTTGAGGTATTATCAGAAAGTAGATGATTTTATTAAAAGGAAACATCCCAAAAAGATTCATACTGGCCATATTGCTACTCGGAGTAATGATATTTGCCTAAGTCATTTTAGAAAAATTTTAAAAAGTAGGCAAAGCCAAACCTCTTTGGATAGATATTTTACCAAGCAACCTCTATCCAGTCAAAGTGCTGGTGGAAGTGAAGGAAAGAAAGCAAAAAGCAGTGAATAAGAATTAAAAAAAAATATGAAACAGAAAAGATTAAAAAATTAGTGTTAAGTTATTTTTAAGTTATTGTTACATTATGTTATGTAAGTTAAGTTTTAGTATCATTTCCCTTCTCCCTCTCTTCCGCCACCAGTTTACACCTCCACCGTCTATCCTCAAAGGTAAAGTGCAAATAAAACTACATTTTTTTTTTATCAATTATTATTCTATTATGGTTATTTATACATTTACAACTACAAAATGCATTTTTCAGTGTTTTCCTTACTATAGTTATTTTTTTA